TTTGTAATTTTTTTTTTTTTTTTTTTATATACCAATCGACAGACGACGAAACAGATCAATGGAAACGCGGTCAAAGAAAGACCTCTTGCATCATAAACGTGCTCGAAAGCCTCAGATTTTAGAAAAATTTGATTAACCACCGAATGATCAGGATTTATTGTAGCTATACGCTCTGCTTTTATATTTTTCCTTTTCCTCGCTTGAATCGAAAAACCGCGCTCTCGCCGAAACAGACGATCTAGATTGCTATTGAATATTGCTGCAGTGTGGCGGTGTGATAGAGCATGTGATAAAAAAATAAAAAAATAAATCAGATATTTATAAGAAATAAAAATCAGTAATAGAAAGAGAGACAGAGAGAAAATGGATTTCAAGACAAAATTGAAGCTCGCATTGTATGAGTGTTGGTTTTAAATGCATTGTGAACGGGTCAGTTGGCCAGAGCGATTTTGCGCGCGCGCATCGTTAGAAGCTAGAATCGAATTTATTTTTGTTTTTCACCGAGCTTTGTGAGATCTTTCTTTTTTTTTTTTTTTTCATTCTTGTTCTTTTCTCGTTTACTTCAAACCGAGCAATGAATATACATTTCATTCACCGCCGATCCTCTTTCAATCTCTTAAACCCTTCAACGCTTAAAGAATACATTTAATTACATAAAATAAAATTAAATATTAAACTAAGCATATATAAAATTAAACCAAGCATATATATATGTATATTATACATGTACGTATACACTAATTGAAAATATATATGTTCATATATATAAATATATATGTTCATTATATGTATATGCATGTATACATTAATTAAAGAATCGAACAACAAAAACAACTCTTGCCAATTTTAATTTTTTTCCCAGAAAGATAAAATGATAATTTGCCACGATTGATTTTCATTATTTACAACAAATTAAAATTTTCTTCTTATAAAAATGTTATTTCTAATTATATTATCGTAAAAAACTAATATCTGATCAAATTACAAAATATAGTAATAGATATCGACCATACGATTGAACAAGAATTGTTTTTTCACGAAACCTTCAATTAAGTTTCTTCTTGCTTGAATATATATTTATATCAATTATTTTGAAAGAATACTATGAAGAAATTATATATTTTAAGCGTCAATATTATATGCAAGTAATCGATGATATAATTTTCTTCGCTTCTTATTTTTTTTTGTCGCGAACACGTGGTCATGAGGATTGCGATTGTGGCAGAGTGATCGGGGTGATCACCATGGCGCGAGTATTTATTACTCGTAGCCAGGTGGTATAGTCACGACCGAGATTAACGTCACAAAGAACAGTACACCAATAATAATAATCATCGTCCTAGAAATCTCCTTACTTTTCTGTTCGATTAGCCATTCCAGAACTCTCTCCTCGTTCTTAAGATTACCTACAAAAGGCACACACGCATATCAGGATCAGCTCAGTTGCATGGTGCACCGAGATTTTTTTCATTTGTTTTGCAGGGGGTTTTTGTTTAAATTTCGAGGAGGGTCGCCAGGTTATTGGTACCTTGTGGGATGGGTAGTCGGTTGTTCTTCCTTTTTTTTTTTTTTTGATTTTTTTTTAATCTTGTGTTTCTTTCGTTTTCATTTCAATAAGATTTGTTTGTATGTTTAAGATGTTTATTTTATATAAAAATCGCTTGAGTACCAAAAAAAATAACTTCTTAACTACTTTATTAAATAACGGCAATATATATTGAAATATTTATGATTTAATAATAATAATAATATTTATGATTTATAAAGTAATTTAAAATATTTAATTAATTTAAAGAATGAAAAGATTACTACAATTGTTACTTATTTTACGGTACTCAAATGATCATTAATTTTCAAACAAAAACAATATTTACTGTGCGATGAATCTTCTTGAAATCGATCTCTATTAATCGATCGATTTATCGAGTATCTGGTTTCTCAATCTTAATTACGAATAAAATCTGAAACTGATTTTATATCGTGAACCATTTACAATAAAATATTTCGAGCTTCAATGAAAGAAGAACAATGCAGAGCAAAAAGGGATGTCTACGAGGAATATAAAGCAGAAATCTCTACGCGTCTTTGTTTCAATAATATTAATAAATAAAATAAAAAAAAAAATATCATACCAGAAAAAAATATTTAAAGAAAAAAAAGAAGAAAAAAAAAACAAAATCTAACTAAAAGAAACAAAGACGATCGAACGAAGGGAGCGCGAGTCTTGATTATAATCGAACAAACCAAGAATTGAGCAATCGAGACTTACCGTCGTACATGATGGGCACGCCAGTCTCGTAATAAACGAGCGCCGGAAATGCGAAAACGCCGATTTCAGCGGCTAATTTCGCGTCGTTTGACTTAACGAATTGGATACCGTGTTTGTCGGTATCGTCGTCGATGGTCTCTAGGTCTTCGAGAATTTCCGGGCACGTTTCGCATTTATCATCGTCTGTTCAAAAGAAATGTCTTATTTTCTAAAAGAAGTTTTTTTCTTTAGAATTAATGGTTTCTTAAAATATTGAACTAGATAGTAGAACTCTATTTATAACGAAATTTATAAATTTCATTTATGCGATATAGATAATACAATCTCGATATATCTTGATTTCTATTTTTTTTTATTAATAATATAATATTTTTTTTTATATTAAATTCATATCAAATTGTATCATAAAATTAAACTTATCTATATGCAATAATTACATATATTTTTATATTTAATCGTGTATTTCATTTATGATTATAATAAATTATTATAAATTTATTTATAAAATAAATTTTTTATTTAATTATTTAAAATCTATTTCTATTATAAGAATATATAGGGTGTTAATATATCTCGTGCGATATCTTTAGAGAGTCAATTTTAAAAGTCAAAACAAATACAAAAATTGACATATAAAAATCAAATGTTAAATTGTAAGCAATTGAATTAGTAGACGACGAAACAAATACGATCATTTTGTTTTAGTTTTTTCCTGTTTCACTCAATATAAATTAAAATTAATTATATTATAATAAATCTAAATAAATCTAAACGGATCTTTTTGTTTTATACTTTTGTGTTTGTTTTGCCTTTTAAAATTGATTCTCTAAAAATGAATATATTAATACTCTATATAAGTACGTATATATACTGTGTCGTCTTTTTAATTTTTCGACATCCGTTGTTTAGAACCAGTTAAGATATATAGTACAATTGTAATTTATATTAAATAAGATAACAAAATAATTCTTTAAGATCATTCTACTGGTAAATTTTAGATTTATAAGTGAAATTTTTAAAAATTTTATTCAATGCAATATAGCTATTATTTATATAAATATATGTTATCTTAATAAAAGATAAATGTATTTATATAATAATATTAGAATTAAAAGATGATGATATATTTTAAAAATTATAAATTTTTTGGAATAAATAGAGTTCCATTATATTTATATATTTTATTCTATTAAATATTGAGATTTAATGAGAGATTATAGGATATAGAATACACTTACAAAAGAATACAGCAAGATGCTCGACGTCATTGATCAATATCTGCAGCGTCTTCCGGTCAACGTTTTCGATCACGTCCGGGGTTTGAGTTCGAAGATCCAGTATCCAATCCAAAATCGCTTCTTCGTGCATCATATCACCATTGTAAACCTGACGGAATTTGTGTCTGTAAAACGCCAATGCCGGTAGACCAGGAAGATCATACTCCTTCTCGATTCCTTCGTCCGAAATTTTTACGAAATCGATGTCTTTCTCTTCGCACTCGTCATCGATATTCTCGAGCTCTTGTAGGATCTTTTGGCTCTTCTTATCGCCTTCCTTATCTAGAATAGAAAATCATGATACAAACGATTTTTCATTTAATAATTTTTTTATTGTAGAATAAATAATATGATGCTAAAAAAAAACTTGAATTATTATTGATTAATTTCCAATTATTATGAGAATACTAACAGAAGAAGATAACGATATAATCGTTCTCCTCAAGAATGTTCTCTAGCATCTTGGCATTCACTTCTTCGATCTTTCCAGGGATCTCAAGAGTATCTTCATCAGTGATCCACGAAAGAACCTCGTCTTCATCTTCGATATCTCCCTTGAAGATCAAAGGTTCTTTGTTCCTGAAGAAAGCCAACGTAGGGAAGGTTTTGATTCCTTGCTTCTTCGCGAAACCCATGTCCTCTGTGGTGACGAAGATGATGCCAGTTTCGTCCAGCTCGTCGTCGATATTCTCCAGCTCTTTGAGAATTTTATCACACTCGTCACCGTCCTCACAATCTCCGCCTGATAAATCGTATTTACAAAACTTATCAAACAAAATTATTATACTATTCATCCAAACAAATATTCAAATATTATCGTTCAAAATAATCGTAATTATCGTTTATAAAATAAATTATTACACTTAATACTTAAAAAAAAAATATTAAAGTATAAAAAGATAGAGAATCGAAACACTTACTGAAGAATGCGACGACGTATTCATGTTCTTCGATCAGATCGACCAGTATCTCGTCCGTGACTTCCTCGATGGTGGCAGTGTTCTTTTGCTCGATCAGCCATTCGAGAACCTCGTCCTCATTCAACAGATCGCCCTCGTAGATGGCTGGGATCTTGTTCTCGAAGTAAACCAGAGTCGGAAGGTGATCGATACCGTATTCCTTTGCCTCGGCGTCGTTGTCCATACGGATGATCACAATACCTTCCTTCTCCAGCTCGTCGTCAATGTTCTCCAACTCGTTCAGGATGCGTATGTCCTGCTTGTCGTCCTTGTCGTCTACGGAAGGGAATCAATTCGTGTCTCGTTTTCGCTCGCGATCGACCAACAGCACCTACCTAACCGGTAACAGTGGAAGAATGTTAAAAGGAGGTAGAAAGACGAATCGATCGCTTACAAAACAGGACTGCCAAGTACGGCGAAGTCTCAATCAGCTTGTCCATCATCTCGTCCGTCACTTCCGGTATCTCTGTGTGCTTCTTCTGATGCAGCAGCCATCCGAGCAGTTGATCCTCGTTCATCAGATCGCCTGTGGAATAGAGATAAATTTTGTTTTATAAAGAGTACTTGTATCTTTAAAAAAAATCTTTTATGATTTTTGTGAAATTCAAGATTTGTAAATTTTTTTTGACAAAAGATTTAATGATTTTATTTTTTCTTTTTTTTCTTTTTTAAATTCTATCAAACTTTGATTCATCTTCAATTTAAAATAATTCAGATATGAAAATACCTTCGTATATGTGTGGTATCTTCTTTTCGAAGAATACCAGCGTCGGCAGAGACTCGATGCCGTATTCTTTGGCTTCGTTGAGGTCGGAAATCTTCACGAACGCAATGTTGTGTTGATCGCAGTCATCATCGATGTTCTCCAATTCACCAAGGATCTTCTGGCTCTTCTTCTGATCCTTATCATCTGTGGAAAAGATAATAAAAATAAATTCGATGCACGAAACGAATATATAATTTTTTCTATACATATTTTTAATATAAAAAATAAATAAATGTTAAAAATGAAAAAGAAATTAATCACTGACAAAAGAGGACGGCTACGTGAGGCATCTTGTCGATGACCATATCGAGCATCTCATCGGTGATATCCTCGATGTGATCGCTCTTCTGTTGCTGTTCCAACCACTTTAAAACTTTTTCCTCATCCTCCAAATTTCCCTCGTATATCGTGGGTATCCCCTTCTCGAAATAGATCATGCTGGGAATTTTCTCGATACCATACTCCTTCGCTTCCTCCGCGTTGTCGATCTTCACGAAGGTCACCCCTATCTGATCGCATTCGTCGTCAATGTTCTCCAGTTCATTGAGAATCTTTTGGCATTTCCGGTCGTTGTTGTCGTCTGATAATTTACAATTTTTGTAAAATTACAGATCATATTATAAAGAAAATTGATTTTCAAATTAAAAAGAAAAAAACATCGATTATTAAATGAAAAAGTGATACAAATACAAAAACGATGTTTAAATTATTATAAATATATAATTAAATTATTTATATAATTTTCTCCGTACCGCTATTTCTTTTTTAATAATATCTAATTCTATAATTTAATTTTTGTAAATAAAGGAGCTTACAAAATAGTACGGCAAGAGTTTTCCCATCCTTGATCAAACGATCCAACATTTCGTCGGTAACGTCCTCAATCTCGTCCTTCTCCAACTGCGACAGCAGCCATTCTAAGATCTCATCCTCGTTCTCCACGTCTCCTACGATCGTCCAATTTTATTTCATTTAATCTTTAACCATATAATCCAATTCTTTTTTCTATTATCCATGTCGGTTTCCCCAATTGTTCCACCCACCTACCCACCATCGTAAAGATTCGGGATTTGTTTTTCGAAATACACGATCGCCGGAAGTGAATTGATCCCGAAATCTTTGGCCGCCTTCTCGTCGTCAATTTTCACGAATTGAATCCCGTGCCTGTCGCAATCATCATCGATCTTTTCCAGCTCGTTCAACACCTGCATCGAATCCTCGTCACCATGGTCGTCTAGGGTTTACAGAACAACAAAGATAAGATAAAAGTATTAAAAAAAAAAAAATAATCACATAAAAGATGTTGTAGAAAAATGCGTACAGAATAAAACGACTAGGTTGTCGATATTTCCGATCAGAGTTTGCAGAGTCTTCGCAGTCACGTCTTCGATCACATCCTCTTCATCTCCTGTGCTCTTGTTCGCTACTAGCCATTCCAGCACGTCTTCTTCTCTGCTAAGCTCGTCTACGCGAATTTTCAATTAATATCACGCAAGAATATTCTTAAATTATTTCTTTTCAATTATATAATATATACATATGGAAACACAGATTTGCCTAACTTATCTAAATTTTTGTGCCGTTTCTTTCAATTCTTCTCAATTATATAGAACTATACTTTTAGAATATTTCCAAACTTTTTAATTTGTTTCATTGTTATATGATTACTCCTTTAAATTTTTTTTAAATTTTGAAAAAAAATTATTTTGTTTATTGTTTATACAAATTCACAGAACTTTAAATACATTAAAGATTCTTTATATTGAGATTATATTTTTTTTTTTTTTTGGAATTTTAAAAATATTTTTTAAAATACGATTTATTTTACAATCGGCAATGCTTACGCTCATAAATTATAGGAATCTGGTGCCTGTAGTAAACCAGAACCGGAAGAGGACCTAGATTATACTCGTCTGCAAGTTGTTCATCCGCGATCTTCACGAAACCGATTCCCAATTGATCGGCCTCGTCGTCGATGTTCTCCAATTCTTGAAGAGCCTTGAGACACTTTTTGCAGTCAGGCTTGTCTGTCCCATTTGAAATAAAGAACAATGTTATTCAGGTTTCGGGATTCTTTAATTAATTACATATGACAGATAGATTTGGATTTAAAATTAGGTTAAACTGGATTTTCATTTACGTCTTCTTTCGATACACGAAAATTTGAAAAATCATTCAAATATTTATACAAATATATATATGTATATCACGTAATATTTTTATGTAAAAATTATTTTACATTTTTTTCTTCTTCTTTGGATTAGTATACAAAATTTATCTTAGTCATCATTCGCATTCCTTCTATTCTAAGGGACAAAGGGATGAAAAATAATGCATCTAAACATCGTGACTATTTTTAAGTACACACGAAACTTCAAAATTAGTAATTGAATATTTTATTGCTCTTTTTTCTATTTATTTTTTTTATTTGGGAAATAAAATATTTTTTATTATAATTTTTATTATTTACGATTTTCGATTTTGCTTCTTTGTCATCGTTTTCATCCTTTAGATTTTTTGACAATTCTTCTAATACAATGAATAGATATGTAAATTATAATTGCTGAAAGTAATGCAATGTTCTTTAATTTATTATTCGATAATAAGTGTTTGTTAAATACATGTATTAGAGGGATAAATATGTACATAGAAATAACATATAATTAATGATCAATGATTATTACGTTTAAGAAAATTAAATGAATTTATATATAATATATTTACTACATATATTTTTTTTTATCAAAATTTATATCGAAGTGATAAAAACCGATTTCCAAACATTCAAAGATGAGGATTAAAAAAATATTTTATGTAATAAAATAAAACTAAAACTAATTGGTTTAAAAAAATGATTCAGTTAGAACAAAAATTATATTTATTAATTTCTTTTTGCAAAATTTTAATTTCATTTTTACGAAAATTTGTATCTA